AACACCAGGGTGTGCAGCCCTACACCGGGGTGTGCGCATCATCACCATGGTGCAGCCACCACACCAGGTGTCACCACAACACCGGTGGGCAGCCACTATCCCAAAACCCAGGGTGTCGCCTCAACTCCAGTGTGCACCTCAACACCGGTGTGGCAGCCACAACACAGGGGTGCAGCACAAACACAGGTGTGCACCTCAACACCAGGGTGTGCAGCCACTACACCAGGTGTGCACCACAACACCAGGGTGTGCACCACTACAGCCATGGTGTGCACCACAACACCAGGGTCACCACAACACCAGGGTGGTGCGCCACAACACCAGGGTGTGCAGGCCACAACTCCAGGTGTGCGGCCACAACACCGGGGTTGGCAGCCACAATCACCAGGGTGTGCAGCCACAGACACCAGTAGGTGCAGCCCACAACACCAGGGTGTGCAGCCACAACACCGTGTGTGCAGCCCACAACACCGGGTGTGCGGCCACAACACCGAGGTTGCAGCCACAACACCGGGTGTAGCGGCCACAACACCAGGTGGAGCCACAACACCAGGTGTTGAGCCACAACACCAGAGGTAGGTGTAAGATGCAGGCCTACAACGACCTGATGAGTGTGCAGCCACAACACCGGATGTTGCAGCCACAACACCGGTGAGGCGTCTCTTGCCATAACACCGGGTGTGCGCCACATACACCAGGTGTCATCCTCAACACCGGGTGTGGCAGCCACAACACCAGGGAGTGCAGCCACAACACCAGGTGTGCAGCCACAATCACAGTGTGCACAACAACTCCAGGTGCAGCCACAACACCAGTGTGCAGCCACCCCCCCCCACAACACCAGGTGGGTCTGCCCAACACCGGGGTGGCTGCCACAACACATGGGTGTGTCACCACTACACAGGTGTGCACCACAACACCTAAGGTGTGCACCACAACACCAGGTGTGCAGCCACAACACCAAGGTGTGCAAGCCACAACACCAGGGTTGCAGCCGGGCAACACCGGGTGAGCTGCCTCAACACCGGGTGTGCAGCCACAAAACCGGGGGTGTGCAGCACAACACCAGGGTGCAGCCACAACACCGGTGTGCTGCCGACTACACCAGGGTGTGCTGCCTCAACGACCGGGGGGGTGGCACACTACACCAGGTGTGCAGCCACACCACCGGGTGTGCACCACACACCAGGGTGTGTCGCACAACACGGGGGTGCGCCACAACACCGGGTGTGGCAACCACAACACCGGGTTGCAGCCACCTACGACCGGTGTGCAGTCACAACACCAGGGGTGCATCACAACACCAGTTGCACCACAACACCAGGTGTGCGCCACAACACAAAAGGTGTGCACACTACACCTGGGGGGGCAGACCACAACACAGGGTGTGCGCCACAACACGGGGTGTGCAGCCTCAACACCGGGGTGTGCAGCCACATCACCGGGTGTGCAGCCTCCAACACCAGGTGTGCACCCTAACAACGAGTGTGCAGCCACAATCACCGGGGTGTGCAGCCACATCCATCCGGTGTGCACCACACACCAGGGTAGTGCAGCCACAACAACCGAGGGAGTGCAAGCAACAACACCGGGGTGAGCAGCCCACAACACCGAGGGTGGTGCGGCCACAAGCCGGGTGTGCAGCCACAACACCAGGGGTGCAGCCACAACACCCGGGGTGTGCAGCCACAACACTGGCAGGTGTGCAGCACATCACCAGGGTGTGCAGCCACAACACCGGCGAGGCCCGGGTGTGCCCAAACACCAGGTGTGCAGCCACAACACCAGGGTGTGCCAGCCACAACTCCGGGGGTGCAGCTGACAACAAGCGGCGGTCATCTAGGGGGTGCAGCCACAACACCAGGTGTGCAGTCACCCACAAACACCGGGTGTGCGCCACAACACCGGGGTGCGGCCACAACACCGGGGTGTGCACCACATACACCGGGTGTGCAGGCCACAACACCAGGTGTGCCAGCCACAACACCAGGGTGTCGGCCCCACAACACCAGGGTGTGCAGCCACCTCACCAGTGTGCAGCCACAACAACAGTGTCAGCCACAATCACCAGGTGTGCAGCCACAACACCAGTGTGCAGCCACAACCAAGGTGTGCAGCCACAACACCAGGTGTCAGCATCAAACACCAGGTTGCAAGCCACTACACCAGGTGTGCAGCCACAACACCAGGGTGTGCACCACAACGAGCCAGGGTGTGTCAGCCACAACACCAGGGTTTCAGCCACAACACCAGGTGTGCAGCCACAACACCAGGGTGTGCAGCCACAACACCAGGGTGTGCAGCCACAACACCAGGGTGTGCAGCCACAACACCAGGGTGTGCAGCCACAACACCAGGGTGTGCAGCCACAACACCAGGGGGTGCAGCCACAACACCAGGGGGGTCACCACAACACCAGGGTGTGCAGCCAACAACCCCGGGTGGGGCACCACAACACCGGGTTGCAGCCCACAACACCAGGTGTGCCAGCCACAACACCGTGTGCGGCCACACTCCAGGTGTGCAGCCACAACACCGGTGTGCGCACAGACCGCCAGGGTGGGCTGCCACAACACAGGGTGTGCACCACAACACCAGGGTGTTGCGGCCACATCACCCGGGGTGTGCGGCCACAACACCGGGTTGCGGCCACAACACCGGGGCCGTGCGGCCACAACTCAGGGGTGCGCCCAAAACACCGGGTGTGGCGGCCCTCAACACCGGGGTGTGCGCCACAACACCAGGGTGTGCAGCCCACAACACCAGGTGTGCGGCCACAACTCCGGGTGTGCAGCCAAAACCCCCCAACCACCAGGTGTGCAGCCACAAACACCAGGGTTGCATGCCCACAACACCGGGGTGTGCAGCCACAACACCAGGGTCAACACTACACCAGGTGTGCAGCCACAACAGCGCGGTGTGCGTCCTCAACTCCCAGTGTGTCCGCCAGCACAACCAGGGTTGCAGCATCAACACCAGGGTGGTGCATCCACAACACCCGGGGTGTGCCCACAACACGGGGGGTGCAGCCACAACACCAGGGTGTGCAGTCACAACACCAGGGTGCGCCACAAACCGGGTGTGCAGCCACAAGCCAACCAGTTGTTCAGCCACAACACCGGGTGTGCGGCCACGAACACCGAGTGTGCGGCCACAACACCTTGGGGTGCGGCCACAACACTATCCTGTGTCCGGCCACAACACCGGGTGATGCGCCCACAGACACCATGGTAGCGGCCACAACCCGTGTGCGGCCACTAACACCAGGGTGTCGGCGATAACACCGGGGTGTGCGGCCACAACACCGGGTGTGCGGCCACAACACCGGTTGCAGCCACACCACCGGGAGCACCACAACACCGGGTTGCGACCACAACACCGGGGGTGTGCAGCCACACCACCTGGGTTGTGCAGCCACAACACCAGGGTGTGCAAGCCACATACACCGGGTGGTGCAGCCACAACACCGGGGTTGCGCCTCAACACCGGGGTGTGGCCACAACAACCGGGGTGTGCACCACAACACCGGGGTGGCTGCGGCCACAGACACCAGGGTGGTCAAGCCACAACACCAGTTGCGTCCCACAACACCGGGGTGTCGGCCTCAACACCGGGGTGCAAGCCACAACCCCGGGAGTGTGCAGCCACAACACGGGGTGTGCGTCCACAACACCGGTGTGCAGCCCAACCACCAGGTGTGCGGCCACAACACCCGCGGGGTGTGGCGGGCCACAAGCACCAGGGGGCAGCCACAACACCGGTGTTGCGGCCACAACACCGGGTGTGAGCCACTACACCGGAGGGGGCGGGGGGCCCCCCACAACACCGGGTGGTGCGCCACAACACCGGGGGTGCGGCCACAACACCGGTGTGTGCGGCACCAACACCGGGTGTGCGCCAAAACACCGGCGGGCGGCCACAACACCGGGGCGGGCGCCACAACACCGGGCGGGCGCCACAACACAGGGCGGGTGCCACAAACACGCGCGGCTTAGCAACCACATCAAGGAGCGTGCGGCCACAACACAAGGGCGGTGGCCACAACACAGGGCGGGCGGCCACAACACAGAAGCGTGTCAGCCAACAACACAGGGCGGTGGCCACAACAAAGAAGCGTGCAGCCACAACACCGGGGCTGGCCACAACACAAGAGCTGCTGCCTACAACACCCAGGCGGGTGGCCACAACACAGGAGGCGGGCAGCACAACACCGGGCGACGGCTCATCACGGGGGTGGGCACCCACAACTCTGGGCAGCAGCCACAACCACAGGGTGGGCACCACAAGACAGGTGGCAGCCCACAACACTGGTGGGCTCCTCATCACGGGGCAGCAGCCACAACACAGGGGTGCAGCCACAACACTGGGGCGGCAGCCTCAACACTGGGCGGGCAGCCACAACACATGGTGCAGCCACAACACAGGGGTGGGCATCCAGCAACACAGGGGTTGGGCAGCCCGACAACACTGGGTGGGCAGCCACAACATGGTGGCAGCCACAACACAGGGTGGCACCACAACCACTGGGTGTGCAGCCACAACACTGGGGCGGGCTAGCTCACAACACTGGGCGCACCACAACACTGCGGCTCCACAACACTGGGCGGGAGCCACACCCTGGGTGGGCCAGCCACAACACGGGTGGGCAACCTCAACACTGGGCGGCAGCGCTCAACACGGGCGGGCAACCACAACGCCACTGGGCGGCAGCCACAACACTGGCGGGACCAAACACTGGCGGGCAGCCACAACACTGTGGCAGCCACAACACTGGGTGGGCACCACAACAACTGGGGCGGGCAGCCACAAGCGGGTGGGCAGCCACAACACTGGGGCAGCCACAACACTGGGGTGGGCAGCCACAACACTGGGGCGGGCAGCCACAACACTGGGGTGGGCAGCCACAACACAGGGGTGGCACCACAACACTGGGTGGGCAGCCCAACAACACTGGGGCGGGCAGCCACAACCTGGGTGGGCAGCCACCACACAAGGTTACATCCTGGCTACTTAACGTTAACAGTGATCTGGGCCACTGGTGGCTGACCCAGCCGTCTGGCGCCCCATTCGTCGTAGTCAAATATATTCTGCCCAGAGAAGTTAATTATTACACAACATCCTTTAAATGTATACACTTTACATACAACACATGTGAGAATTTAATGCACTAAGTGAAGCACTACATAATACACTAAGAACACTACATAATACACTAAGTGAAGCACTACATGTTCCGACTTTGATGTCGTAACTTAATTAAAATGTTCCTGGCTCCTAAAGGCTGCTTACACTGCTGTCTAGAGGTTATAAAATTACACTGAAAAAGGCAGCAAACCTTGGTCCAGCATGTACTCATTAAATAATAAAGCATGAGTGCAACTAATTAATATAGTATATGGAAGGACAAACAAACTCACCTATACAAAACTATATATATATTAATAATATTAATTTATATATAACTTACAACTACTCCAAAAGAACCACCACACTCCAGTTCACATTAACTAACACACTGCTACTAGTGAGTTAAACAAAATAAGTGAAGCACTACATAATACACTAAGTGAAGCACTACATAATACACTAAGTGAAGCACTACATAATACACTGAGTGAAGCACTACATAATACACTGAGTGAAGCACTACATAATACACTGAGTGAAGCACTACATAATACACTGAGTGAAGCACTACATAATACACTAAGTGAAGCACTACATAATACACTAAGTGAAGCACTACATAATACACGAAGTGAAGCACTACATAATACACTAAGTGAAGCATTACATAATACACTGAGTGAAGCATTACATAATACACTAAGTGAAGCACTACATAATACACTAAGTGAAGCATTACATAATACACTAAGTGAAGCACTACATAATACACTGAGTGAAGCATTACATAATACACTAAGTGAAGCACTACATAATACACTGAGTGAAGCACTACATAATACACTGAGTGAAGCACTACATAATACACTAAGTGAAGCACTACATAATACACTAACAACACTACATAATACACTTAGTGAAGCACTACATAATACACTGAGTGAAGCACTACATAATACACTAAGTGAAGAACTACATAATACACTGAGTGAAGCACTACATAATACACTAACAACACTACATAATACACTTAGTGAAGCACTACATAATACACTGAGTGAAGCACTACATAATACACTAACAACACTACATAATACACTTAGTGAAGCACTACATAATACACTGAGTGAAGCACTACATAATACACTAACAACACTACATAATACACTTAGTGAAGCACTACATAATACACTAAGTGAAGCACTACATAATACACTGAGTGAAGCACTACATAATACACTGAGTGAAGCATTACATAATACACTAAGTGAAGCACTACATAATACACTAAGTGAAGCACTACATAATACACTGGGTGAAGCATTACATAATACACTAAGTGAAGCACTACATAATACACTGAGTGAAGCACTACATAATACACTAACAACACTACATAATACACTGAGTGAAGCACTACATAATACACTAAGTGAAGCACTACATAATACACTGAGTGAAGCACTACAAAATACACTGAGTGAAGCACTACATAATACACTGTGTGAAGCACTACATAATACACTAAGTGAAGCACTACATAATACACTAAGTGAAGCACTACATAATACACTAAGTGAAGCACTACATAATACACTAAGTGAAACATTACATAATACACTAAGTGAAGCACTACATAATACACTAACAACACTACATAATACACTGAGTGAAGCACTACATAATACACTAAGTGAAGCACTACATAATACACTAACAACACTACATAATACACTGAGTGAAGCACTACATAATACACTGAGTGAAGCACTACATAATACACTGTGTGAAGCACTACATAATACACTAAGTGAAGCACTACATAATACACTAACAACACTACATAATACACTGAGTGAAGCACTACATAATACACTGAGTGAAGCACTACATAATACACTAACAACACTACATAATACACTTAGTGAAGCACTACATAATACACTAAGTGAAGCACTACATAATACACTGAGTGAAGCACTACATAATACATTAAGTGAAGCACTACATAATACACTGAGTGAAGCACTACATAATACACTGAGTGAAGCACTACATAATACACTAAGTGAAGCACTACATAATACACTAAGTGAAGCACTACATAATACACTGGGTGAAGCACTACATAATACACTGGGTGAAGCACTACATAATACACTAAGTGAAGCACTACATAATACACTGAGTGAAGCACTACATAATACACTGAAGCACTACATAATACACTAAGTGAAGCACTACATAATACACTAAGTGAAGCACTACATAATACACTGAGTGAAGCACTACATAATACACTAAGTGAAGCACTACATAATACACTAAGTGAAGCACTACATAATACACTAAGTGAAGCACTACATAATACACTAAGTGAAGCACTACATAACACACTGATTGAAGCACTACATAATACACTAAGTGAAGCACTACATAATACACTGAGTGAAGCACTACATAATACACTAAGTGAAGCACTACATAATACACTAACAACACTACATAATACACTGAGTGAAGCACTACATAATACACTAAGTGAAGCACTACATAATACACTAACAACACTACATAATACACTTAGTGAAGCACTACATAATACACTAACAACACTACATAATACACTTAGTGAAGCACTACATAATACAGTGAGTGAAGCACTACATAATACACTAACAACACTACATAATACACTGCGTGAAGCACTACATAATACACTAACAACACTACATAATACACTTAGTGAAGCACTACATAATACACTGAAGCACTACATAATACACTAAGTGAAGCACTACATAATACACTAAGTGAAGCACTACATAATACACTGAGTGAAGCACTACATAATACACTGAGTGAAGCACTACATACACTAAGTGAAGCACTACATAATACACTAACAACACTACATAATACACTTAGTGAAGCACTACATAATACAGTGAGTGAAGCACTACATAATACACTAAGTGAAGCACTACATAATACACTAAGTGAAGCACTACATAATACACTAACAACACTACATAATACACTAAGTGAAGCACTACATAATACACTAAGTGAAGCACTACATAATACACTAAGTGAAGCACTACATAATACACTAACAGCACTATACATTATACACTAACTGAAATAGTGCAAAATTTAGAGGAACAAGTTAATGTCCTTCAAGGTGGGCATCTTTATGCTGGCGAAGGGCTCTTGATCCAAGTAGTTGGGCTTACCCTCCCTCTCCCTTGGATCAGACCTCATGAACCTCCCATGCCAGGGCACAATATAACCCCTACGGACTTAAGCAACGGTGAAGAAGCAGATAACTAGTAGCTCCAATTCCCAGGATCAAGAACCCTTCACTAGCGTCAAGGTACCTCACCTTGGACAAATACTCGAAAATAAGGCTATGGATTTTACTCTTCCTGTAACTAAGAATAGGTAATTACTAATAGGTAATCAAATGCCTAATAAATATTAAATACGTAATGATAATGAAAATAGGCAATGGGAAATAATCTTAAATAGTTCATGACAATAAGTATCTTCAAATAGATAAGCTATAATAGGTAATAACATAACCTTAAATAGGCAAGTTATAATAGGTAATAACATAACCTTAAATAGGCAAGTTATAATAGGTAATAACATAACCTCAAATAGGTATTGACAAATAGGTAACGACAAATAAGTAATCTTAAATGTCATTTCTCAGTGACGAGTGCAGCTGTGTTAACTGATGAGGAGGAAGAGGAAGGTGGGTGGTGGTGGTGGTTGTTACTCACCTGTCTGGGAGTCATCTCTTCCTCTCGTGGTACACTCTTAATTTCTAGTCTCTCCTTCCTCTTGACAGTTTTGTGTTTCCTGCGGAACAAACACACATTAGTAACTATGCACACTTAAACATCAACAATCTTGTGTGAAACGAACAGTACTCACTCACACACCAAGTAACACACACATACACACACGTGTGTATGTGTGTGTTACATATGGTATCAAACGGTTTAGGTTGAACATGAACAGAATTACGTGGAACAGACGCATTATAACAAGTAATGCACAAACAAGAAGCAGCACTCAGACTTTATTTAAGATGTTAATGATTAGTGCTTTAATCCTGCATTAGGCTTTTGCCATACCTACTTTACAGTGTACGTTTCCTTATTGGCTTGTACCACATTCCTTTTTCTTGTACTATCTCCACATTGAAGAAATTCCTTGACTATGTGTCTATCTCTGAGTATAATGTAAGTTGTGATCATGTCACCTCCTCTCGTTCCCCGGTCTCTAGTGATGAAGATTTAACTTTCTTCTTATTCTATCAGCATTATTCTAGCAGTATTAGTTTTGGGAGCAACCTTGTAACCAGCGTCTGAACTTAGGTTTCTTGGTGTGAGGGGTAAAGTGTTCAACCTGTCGTACACCATTACTGTACAATGTTCAATTAATAATAATAATAATAATAATAATAAATGTTGAGAAAGGCTAAAACATCATCTGGCAAAGGGGATTTATTATTATTATTGTTATTATTATGTCGAGTTTCCTCCATCTGCTGCTGCAGTCTAGCCTCCTATCTCGTAGCCTCATGCTAGTCCATACTTAGTTGAACTCCTCACGTAGCATGTTGCATGGTTGCACTTCTTTCATAATGAGGAATAAGAGTCATGTGCAACACCGGTGTATCTTTACTGAAGTTATTTTAATTTGTTTTGCGTCACTACCAGCACTGATATGTGGTAATTTAACCTGGTTATTTAGATACCAGGATAGGTGCATAATCCAGAAGTGAACTTCGTAATGTTTTATTGGTAATCAAGAAATGAACTTCATGGTGTTTTATTGGTAACCTCTACACTCGATTGTAATATTTTTCTTCTCTCCATCCTGACCACTCTCACAATAAGTGGGTATTCTCTTGTCCACATTAATAACATCCAAGTCATACCAGTCTCCTGTGAGAGACAATGTCAGGGGTCTTTTGACTGGCTACAAAACACAGCTCCTCCTCCTCTTGTCTGATTTGTATCAACTTGTAATAGGATTTAATAAGGTTATAGAGGCAGAATTTACTGCTAAGTTTTTGTTATAAATAGTTGTACGGTTTGTAGGTTGCTAACAGTGCCGGTGTATACTTTAGACTGTGCTAGTATCGAAGTGGCTAGTTTTTTGTGCACCCCATATCCATCCTGTGGACGGTAGCGCAAGAGCATATGGAAACACAAAAGGCCTAGGAACTAGGCCCTGAGAGGGCTGATTTTACATATGGATTTATATCTACATTTCACTTATCTATTATAAGCAAATTTATAAAATTTGTTTAATATATCTGGTATCTTATTCTCATTAATAAGATATCGTGACATGTCACATGGGCTCTTGTTATACTGTTCTGGTATATGGGTATTGGAGAAAGTAGAGGTGTGTGTGCGAGTGTGTTTGTGCACTCACCTAGTTGTGGTTGCAGGGTTAGATTCACAGCTCCTGGCCCCGCCTCTTCGCTATGTATGTGTGTGCACACTACTCATCACACCAAAAGAAGCAAACAATACAATCCACTACCCAAATCAATGATGCATCTTGACAGTGACTTAATATTTAAGTAATTCCCAGAGTACTTAAAGTAACAGTGCTTTTCCTTAAGTAACTTCACAATTACTTAGAAAATTAAGTAGTGGCTTAAATACTGTAATGTCCTGTTATTACATAATGAATAAGTGACATTAGTGTTATTAAAGTACTCTCTTACGTACTGAAGTGATGACGTCTGATGAGTTACTTACATAACGATGAAGATGATGCCGGCCAGGAGGACCGCTCCCAGGACCCCGCCCACCACGCCCCAAAACCCCCCCCGTTTTTTATTTTTTGGGGGGTTTTTGACAGGTCACTTTTTTTATTAGAGTCATGAAGGGCAAGCCAAGTTTCCCAACCATTGGCGGGTCAGTAAAGGGTAATAAAGGCACGGGTCACAAGGACAGGGGGAGACAGGTCAGGGCTTTGGGTGCGAAATTCAAGAAAAATTTGTAGGGGTGCAAAAAGGCACAGCAAAGGGCAAGGTTTCACAGATGGGAGGGGTGGACACCCGGGGAACCCTTTCAAGGGTGACCCCAGCAACCCCTGTCAAAGGGTGACCCCCACGTCAACCAGGTCAAAGGGTGACCCCCAGGTCAACCCGGCAAGGGTGACCCCCAGGTCAACCCCCAGGTGAAGGGGGGGAACCCCCCGGGCAACCCAAAAAAGAGCATTCATGGGGTTAAGCACATTTACCAAGAGGGTCATATAAGGGTCACGAAACTAAAGGTCACTCAAAGAGGTCAACCAAGTCACCCTTTCAAGTCACACAATCTCATATTGAAAGCTTTAAACCTGTAAGGGGTTAACCATGGAAAATTTGGGAAAATTTATTTTGGGCAAAAGGAAAAACAGCTCCAATTCCTTTTGGGTTTAAGAACTTTCCCAAAAGGGTCAAAGGCACTATCCCCCAAGGGGTTTTGCACATACCCCTAAGGGAAAAAATAAAAATTATTCACTGGGCCAGGGGCCCGTGGCAATGTTAAAAATACAAACCCGTGGCAGGGTACTAGCACCAGTGGGAGGGTTCAAAGCACCTTTGGCAGGGGGACAAACACCCCGTGGCAAAGGGTTTCTAGCAATGTGGCAGGGGAATAGCACCTTTCCCCCAGGGGGACTAGCACCTGCGGCGGGTACTACAACCCCGCGGCAGGGTACTAGCACCAGTTGCAGGGTCTGGCCCCCAGGGGGCAGGCTACTACCCCCAGTGGCCCGGCTACTAGCCCCCCAGTGGCAGGCCTTACTAGCCCCCCCCCCCTTTTTAAAAAAAAAAAAAGGCAAAGGGTACAGCACTAGTGGGAGGTACTAGCACTTTGTGGCAGGGTACTAGCACTAGTGGGAGGCCCACTAGCACCAAAGACAAAAAGCCCCCAGTGGTAGGGTACTAGCCCCCAGTGGCAAAAGGGACTAGCCCCCAACCTTGGAAAGGGTTTTTAGCACCAGCGGGAAAGGGACTACCCAGTAGCAGGGGGGACTAAACACCCCCGTTTGGCAGGGACTAAGCACCAGTGGGAGGGGGTACTAGCACCAGTTTGGGAAAGGGAATCTGGCCCCCGTGGCAGGGATACTACACCAATTTATACCCGTGTGGGGTTTACGGAGGTTTTGAGCCTGCACTAACCGCAGCGGGTATTATCAAAAGTTACAGATTTATTACATTTCAACCAAGGCAGTGTGGGTCCCCCACTTTCCTCCCCCCGTTTCATGCAATGGGGTTTTGGTAAAAGTCACCCCCAGGAAGGGGTTTAACCACACGGCTTGTTTATTTATATATTTCCCCATCTAGTTTTTTCCCTGTAAACCCTCACTTGAGGAGAATTTATCTCTTAGACCAAAAAGTTTTTTTCTTTATGTACCACTTGTAGGGGGGTGTACCCCTTGTTGTACCCTACCTACCCCACCACTTTTAGGGGTGTACCACTTGTTTAACCCCACTCTACCTACCACTTGTTGTGTGTACCCTTTTTGTACCTGCCTTTCCCACCACTTTTAAGTGTGTACTAAATTTTTGTGTCCTGCTTACCCACCATTGTAGTTTTGACTACTTGTTGTATTTTGCTCCCACCTACCACTTGTTGTTTAAGAAATACTTGTTGTAACCGCTTACCTACCCTGTATTTTGAAATACTTGTTGTACCCACTCTACCTACCACTTTTTAGTGTGTACTTTCTTTGTTTTTTTTCTGCCCCTACCTACCACTTGTAGTGTGTACTCTTTTGTACTGCTCTACCCACAACTTGTTTTTTTTGGGAAAAACTTTTTTTGAAACTGCTCTACCCCACTTGTAGTGTGTACTTTAAAAAAATTATTGGGCTGCCCCTACCTACCCCCTTTTAAATGGAAATACTTTTTGTATCTGCCAAACCCACCACTTGTAAATTGGGGTTTCTACTTGTTTTTACTGCTCTACCTACCACTTGTAGTTTTTGTACTACTTATTGCGTCTTTCTCTACCTACCCCTTTTTAGTTTTGTTTCTACCCTTTTTTTGTATCTGCCTAAAACAACTTTTTAGTGTGTACTAATTGTTGTATTGCTCTACCTACCACTTTTAGTGTGTACTAATTTTTTGTACTACTCTACCTACCACTTTAAGGTGTAACTTAAATTTTTTGTATCTGCTCTACCCCACCACTTGTATGTGTACCCAATTGGGTTTTATCTGCTTACCTACCACTTGTAGTGTGTACTAAAATTGTTTGTCTTTCCTTTTACCTAAAAACTTTTTGTGTTACTACTTTTGCTTTGCTCTACCAACCCCTTGTAGTGGGGTACTACTTGTTTTACCTACTCCCACCCACCCACTTTTAGTGTGTAATACTTGTTGTACCTGCCCACCCCCCCCCTTGTAGGGTGTACTACTTGTTTATCTGCTCTACCTACCCCTTTTAGTGTGTACTACTTGGTTTTACCTGCTCTCCTACCCCTTGTGTTTTTACTATTTTTGTATTGCTCAACCCACCACTTGTTGTGTGTACTTCTGGGTTTTTCCACTCTACCTACCCCTTGTGTGTGTACTACTTTTTGTGTCTTTCTCAAACCCACCAAATTGTAGTTGTATACTTGTTGTATTTTAGCAAACCCACCAAATTTGGGGGTGTGTACTAAAATTTTTTAACCTTTCTCTACCCACCACTTTGTGGGTTTTACTACTTGTTGTATCTGCTCTACCTACAATTTAGTGTGTACTACTTGTTGTATCTGCCCCTACCTACCACTTTTGGTTTGTACTTCTTTTGTTCTCTCTAACCCCCACTTGTAGTGTGTACCCACTTTTTTGTATCTTTCTCTACCTACCACTTTTGGGTGTACTAACTTTTTTGTAAACTCTCTAAACCCACCACTTGTAGTGTTTACTACTTGTTTTGTCTGCTCTACCTTTCCACTTTTTAGTGTGTACTACTTGTTGTAAACTTTCTTACCCACCACCCTTTTAGTGTGTACTACCCTTTTTGTATCTGCTCTACCTTTAAACCCCTTGTTAGTGTAAATAAATTGGGTTTTAAACTTCTCTACCCCACCAAATTTAGTGTGGGACCCTTGTTGTACCCGTCTACCTTTCAACTTTGGGAGTGTGCACCACTTGTTTTCACCTGGGTCCCACCCACCACTTGTAGTGAGGACCACTTGTTGACCTGCTCTAAACCCACCACTTTTGTGTGCATCCCCTTGTTGTACCTGCTCTACCTACCCCCTTGGTTTGTGTTCAACCCCTTGTTGTTTCCTGCTCTACCTACCACTTTAAATGTGCACCACTTGTTGTCCTGCTCTACCCCCCTTTGGAGGGGGCCCCCCACTTTTTTGCCCTGCTCTACCTACCCAAATTGTAGTGTGCACCACTTGTTGTACCTGCCCCCTACCCACAACTTGTAAATGTGCCCCCCACCTTTTATGAGGCATCACTTTTTGTACCTGCTCTACTTTAAAAATTGTAGTGGCACCACTTTTAGTGAGCCCCCACTTTTTTGCACCTGCTTACCCACCACTTGTGTGCCCACCCCTTGTAGAGGGAAACAGTACAACCACTTGTTTTGCACCCCTTGTTTTTTTAACCCGCTCTACCTAACAATTTTGCCACCATTTTTTGTACCTGCTCTACCTTCCACTTGTAGTGCGCACCACTTGTTGTATTGCTCCACCTACTCTACCCACCCCCTATAATTTTAAAGTTTGGGGAAAAAGTGCCAAATCTCAAACCCCGAGAGGGAAGCTTTTTGCTTCCTCCACCTCATATTTGAGAGGGAGCCCTCTTTTGGGAAGCGACTTATTAGTTACTTTGGGATTTTGACCTTCTGCCACCCACCCCTACCTCCCTTTTCCCCACCTCACACCCCCAGCTTCCGGGTTCACTTCTGCAAAAGGTAAGCACCCCCCGTTACTACCACCCTGAGGTTTAAAATATACACCTGGGGTTTCAAACCCCATGAGGTAAAATAAAAACACCCCGGGGTTTCAAACCACCTGAGGTAAACTTTGACAACCCGGGGTTTTTTTACCCCCATGAGGGGAAACTTTGACACCTGGGTTTCCCACCACACGGAGGTTTAAAAAAGACACTGGGTTTTGTTTGTTACTACCACCAAAGGGGGGTTAAAAGACACCCGGGTTTGTTGTTATAACCCCAAGGGAGGTTAACAAGACACCCGGGTTGGTTTGGGTTTCAAACCCCAAGGGGGGTTAACAAGACACCTGGGTTTTGTGTTGTTACAACCCCAAGGGAGGTTAAAAAAAGACAATGGGTTGTGTTTTACTACCACAAGGGAGGTTTTTACCCAAAACACCTGGGTTTTTGGGTTTTTAATTCCACAAGGGGAGGGTTTAAAAAGACACCGGGGTTTTGGTGTTACTACCACAAGGGAGGGTTAAAAAAGACACCCGGGGTTTTGTTTTTTACTACCCCAAAGGGGGGTTAACAAGACAAAACCCGGGGTTTTGGTTTTTACTACCACCAAAAAGGGGGTTAAAAAAGACACCCGGGTTGTGTTGTTACTACCACAAGGGGGGGTTAACAAGACACCGGGTTTGTGTTACTACCACAAGGAGGGTTTAAAAAGGACACCTGGGTTTGTTTTCCAAACCCCAAAAGGGGGGGGTTTAAAAAGACACCTGGGGTTTGGTGTTTTTTACCACAAAGGGGAGGTTTTAAAAAAACACCTTTGGGGGGTGTTGTTACACCACAAGGGGGGTTTTCAAGACACCCTGGGTTGTTGTTCCCACCCACAAGGGGGGGTTTAAAAAGACATTCCCCCCCCGGGTTTTTGTTGTTACTAAACCCCCCCGGGGGGTTAACA